GATGAATCAGGCTTGGTAAAAGAGGGGGGCTAGCCACGAATTGCGCCTGCTAGGGCTTCGATGCGGCCGAGGGGGGGAGATGTGGGAGCGGCGAGTTGAGCTTCGATCTAGCCGCGATGGAAATATTAATTATTTCAAAAAGTAAAATTTGATTTGTACATTTTTATTAGTGTAGCACATCATAAAATGGATGTCAATTTTGGGTAACTCTGACGTTCCAGACGCGCTGGCGCAGTCCGTTTTGCCGTCGGAAGTCGTTTTGACGAATTCATCGATTTGCGTGTCAATTTTCTCGTGTCAAAAGTATAGCAATATGAGTGTCCTTTCCTACCAAAATTGGTATCCCAGACGCGTTAGCGCAGTCCAATTTGTCGTCGGAGGTCATCCGGAGAAGTTCGCATTTTCACCCGTCCTTTAGGCTTAATTGAAGTCTAATTTCATGTAACTCAGTGAATTTTGTGCATTTGATGTGTGTATGTGACGAAAAAGAGTCGTGACGATGTCTTCCTAAGGCTTGAAGTTCTATTTGGAACATTTCCCTTGAGTCTTCACAAAATAGCCCATAACCATTTGTTCATAAGACGATGGCCTTGTGCCATAAATGTTAGACATCAAAGAAAATAGGAAGTGGCTGGAATTTCTAAAAGGGTGGGTCTTAATTCTAGTTTTTCTAGGATGGTCAGTAGGAATTCCTAGAGCTAGATCCTAGGGTCCTAGAAAAAGAAATGACCTAAAAAATGAGGTCAACACATGGCTAATTAAGCTGATTTTCTTTTGCTATTTAAGTATTTATACAATGGTTTGCAACTTGCATGACTATTTCCTATAAACAGCACCTTTAATCTTATGCTACAGGTTGTTAGGTTTGCCTTCCGAGTGCATCAGGTACTTCTTATTGACTTTTTTAGTTTAGAATAAAGTGAGAGAGATAGATAATATTTCAGGCTTTAAGACATTTCCTAAACGATACAACATGTAATATGATTCTTAAAGACAATGAAAAACTCATTTTCATGCAATTTGGTTACAGAATATTTGTCTTTGAGCCAATTCTATGGATTTGGAGGACAATTCTCCCATATTGAGTTTAAAGGAAGAAGAGTTCCTATACTGGTGCAGGAGCAAGGCATTGGGAGAGGAGATCAGCCTATTATACTTGCAGCTAATTTGGTCAGTTACCGCCTTACAGGTGTAGAGCTAGAATATAAATCTCTTAAACTTTTAACACCAAAATTTAACCTTTTTCATTCATACCACAAATCTTTCATATAACATAAAAAATACAACCATTATAACTTTCAGAAAGTGAAATACATATTTTCATGCATAGTTAAGGTGCATATATGTAAAAAATTGAAGTTTGTGTGTTAGATATGTAAATATATAGAAATTGAGTGGAATGAATGTTGATACGCCACCAACAAATTTTCATCATCTGGCACGAATCTAGAGGCAATATTTTATTCAAGAAATATTCAAATCTTGATAAAAAGTCATCCAGAGATCCGATTTCAGTAAACTTATAGTCAAACTGACCGACTCGATGAGAAAGACCTAATGATATCAAAGTTAGTCTAATCCGAGTCAAATCAAGCTCAAATCAAGTGATTAAATCATCTTGGAAGATTTCTGGACACATTTGAAAGATCAAACGAATGTCGAATTTAGCTAGTTCATAATCGAATCGAGCATCTTGACCAGACGAATCCAACGAGCCCAAGATTGCTCAATTCCGACATCATTAATGCACTCCAATATCCATCAAACGCCATTCAATTGAGGGAAGCTCTCTGGATCGTCCGATCAAAATGATTTATATTTTTTCGCATTAATTGCACCTAAAACACTATAAATAGAGCCCCACCCCTCACATGAGAGGGAAGACTGGAGAGAAAACTTAAGACTTTTAAGGAGCTTAAGTTAAACACCATCCCTGACATCGCAGACCGTCGTCGACCAGTGCAGACCACCGCCGACCTCCGTCGACCACCACTGACCGTCGTCGAACATCACCGACCGTCAGCGACCACCACCAACCTTTGTCGACCGCTGTCGGGCACAATCAATTATCGTCGATTGTCGCTAACATCCATCGACTACTGCCGATTGTCATCAACTATCTTCGACCACCGATAATCAGGTGTCGTCAGTCAACGTTGTGCCTTAGAAAATCTAGTAATTCTTTCTCGTTTGTGGGACAACGAGCCTCTGTAATCATCAACTGATAGTGTTTTTATAACTGAGCCAGACCCTGTGGTTTTCTTTCCTTTACAAGTTTTCTACTTAAAAACTTCTAGTGTCATCACAGGTTGATTTTCTTTCATCTGAGTGTGTGTTGAATCCTCGTGCAACGCTAAGAAGATCATTCATTACTCTACCGATGCAAATTTTCTAGCACGCATCAGTTTGACGCCGTCGTGGGAAATGAAGATGGGAAGTTCTCAATCCCACCACTGAAGTACTTGGTTTGCTACATGGCCACTAGACGAAACATCCGGGACAACGGAGCAGTTCGCTCTAACACCAATCATTTAAAGGAACAGTCACAAAGTCGAGGGCAACATGTTTCTTCATCTTCCCGTCCTGGAAGACGTTACCCAACCAACGCGGGGCTCAACAGCCGCTACCTACACCATTGAATGAAATTCGTTTACCATTAAATCCACAACGTACGGGAAACATACCACTCAGAGGAACTCGTATCGGCCCGCCTCCTCAAGAAGGAACACATCCCCTGCCAGGTCGTGATGTTGAACTCCTAGATTTCGCAAGTTTCACTCATCCATCTCGTGCAGCTTGCCCGACGTCGCCACATTTTCTTGTCATTCCAAATAATGTCATTTGTAACGAACTACGACGCCTTGTTCGGGAAGAGTTTCCCCTAGAGAAAAAAGATCGCTTCTACGCTTACCGTATCATCCATGAATCTTCTCGCTTAGCGGATGCGGTCCTCTAACACCCCATCCCAACATGCTTCAAGCTTCCGAACGTCTATGCATATAAAGGGATAACTGACCTTACGAGCATATTGATCATTATTGAACCATCATGCAGATTCAACGTGCCTCTGATGCTTGTTCCCGATTACTCTTAAAAACAAGCTCGAACCTGGTTTTACTCTCTGCCATGGGGCACTGTAAACACTTTTAACGAGCTTGTAAAATTGTTCGCAAAGTAGTTCATCGCAAATCGAAGGATCATCAAGGATTCATCCCATCTCTCAGGAATTTGTCAAAGTGAAGGAGAGTCGCTTAAGGACTACTTCTGCAAATTTTTTAATGAAGCCCGTCAGATTCCGGAGGTGGATCCGGAGTTACTAAGGGGAGTCTTCCTTGGGAGGCTCCGCTCATGATCTTTTTACTCATCACTGATGCAGGAGACAGTTCGTTCTTATGCTGACATTGTCCATCGTGTTGTGGCCCAAATCACTGCGGATGAGGCTATCAACACATATAAAGAGCAGTTCGAGAAACTTGGGGGAAAGCGCAAGAATAACACTGGAGATAATAATTAATCTTCGCAACGGAGAAAGGTCGAACAATAGAGGAATCGCGACCTCCTTCCTCAACCTGCAGGCCAGCGAAATGAGTATCAACCTAAGAAAGGGAATAAACCGCTCAACACATCACGTGTTAACATCTAATGACTACCAAATACGAGCAAGTCGTTAAGTGGCATCACACCCTAAAATCTAACTTAGTGAATCAAGAACAATACTGTAATTTTCATTGAAGTAATGGTCACTCCACTGAATCATGTAAGCAGCTCAAGGAAGAGATTGAAAGGTTTAGTAAACAGGTATATCTTGGTCGATTTGTACAAAAGAAACCAAGTGGTACTGATAATGCTTCTACTGGGGGACAACATTTACAAAGACAGCAATATGGGGGTCACCTAGTCGTAGGCGAAATTCAAACAATTGTTGGAGGCCCATTGCTGACTGATCAAGTTCTTATCATTATACCTGGTGAACTAATGTAGAAGAAATTGCGCCCCGAGCCTATCAGTTTTGATGATTCCGATTTGGAAGGAGTTCGAGTCCCCCACCATGATCCTCTCGTCATTAGCGCAAGAATTGACGAGTCTTGCTATAACGTAAAGAGAATCATGATCGATTATGGGAGCTCTGTCGATGCCTTATTCTATTCAACTTTCCTTGGTTTGAGATTGACAAGGGAAAAACTTCAACCTGCATCCACACTATTATATGGTTTTGATAATTGACCAGTGAAGGTTGAGGGAAAAAAAATATCCCCGTTGTCTTAGGAGATTTTCCTCGACATAGAACCCTCTCAGTCTAATTCATCTTTGTCAAATCAGAATCGACATATAATGTCATCTTCGGGAGACCACTACAATCAATCTGGCATCGTGACTTCTATAACACTCTTGAAGATAAAGTTTCCAATCCCATCAGGGATCGACGTCGTGCGAGGTGATCAACAAACAACAAAATCATGCTACCTCAGGTAAGCTCAGCCACGCCCATCAATGACACTTAGCATTGAGAACTTCGATCTGCAAGATGAAAATGTATTTCAACGGGTTTCTCCCATGAAAAACTTGGTTCACATCCCACTCTCTAACGAACATTCCTCGAGAACATCGCAACTTCGTTCCCTACTTTTTGATGAGCAAAGGTCGGAGTATGCAGATCTTCTCTAAAGGAATCAATACATTTTTGCATGGACTCCGACCGACATGCCTGGAGTTGACCCTGAAATAATCATGCACTCTTTAAAGGTAGATCCAACCTCTAAACCGGTCATCTAGAAGAAGCGAAATTTTGCCCTGAATCGTTTATAATCTATTGAACAAGAAGTCAACATGCTTCTCAAAGCCAAGTTCATCTGGGAAGTGCACCACCCTACATGGTTGGCCAATGTCGTCATGGTGATAAAAGTTAGTGGTTCAAGGAGAATGTGTCGACTATACAAACCTCAATAAAGCATGTTCGAAAGATAGCTTTCCCCTCCCAAGCATAGATCAACTTGTTGATGCCACTTTCGGACATCAGATGCTCAGCTTTATGGATGCATACTCAAGGTACAATCAAATAAAGATGAACCTAGTAGATGATGAAGCCACCTCTTTTCAAACAGATTAGGATTTATAATGTTACACATGTGCCGCCGGTAGAACACATCATTTCTGAGTCCTTGTCCTTTCGTCTAATGGGGGGTAGATATAATGAGATCATTTGCACTAGCTAGTGGACAACGAAAATTCATCATCTCAGATGTCAACTACTTCACCAAATAGGTAGAAGCAGAGCCGCTCGTCAAGATCACTGAAGCAAATGCCAAACAATTTGTCTGGAAAAAACATCATCAGTCGCTTTGGGCTCACCGTGAAAATTATCACTCATAATGAGACGCAATTCACTGGAAGGGTTTTCACATCATTCTGCAAGGATCTTCACATTCAGTTGGTGCATACAGTCATGACGCATCCCCAAACAAATAGGCAGACAGAAGTGACAAATTGGACGGTGCTCAAGGAGTTGAAGACTCGTCTTGAGAAGGCTGGGGGGCAGTGGGTAGAAGAGCTGCGCGTCCTTTGGGCCTATCGCACCACTACTCGTACTCCAACCTGAGAAACTCTATATAACTTATGTTTCGGCACTGAGACTGTTATCCCAGTTGATATCAGAGTTCCAAACCCACGAGTTAAGACTTTCGACTCAGATAGCAACGAGGAAAAACTCCGACAACATTTGGATCTCCTCCCAGAAACACGCAATGTGACTCATTTTAGAGCTGCTTTCTACCACCAAAGAATTGCTCGCCACTTCAACTGGAGAGTCAAGCATCGGTCTATCTCCGTCGGTGACCCGGCCTTGCGTATCATTGAAGCCGCCAGTCATGGTCCTCAACGCAACAAACTATCACCTCTTTGGGAAGACCCATATATAGTGGCTACCATGATCAAGCCGGGAACCTTCAAGCTTGATGATTCAGATGGAAAAATTGTCTCAGACTTAAAATGCAGAAAATCTTCGTAAGTACTATCAGTAACACTCTAGTCATGTAGTCCATATATGTTATTATATCGCAACTCATATATAATCAATTTATCTCAAATATTTCTCATTTTCCTATATATAAAGGATATGTTTAGAAAGTGTAATGACTCATTCACGAGTCACTTCATGCTCTAGACACGAGAAATACACAACTTCGGTTGTATTTTAGTCAGAGCACGATCAATCCCAGGGGGATTTGATCTAACCTCTTCCACATTGGTTAACTTCATCGAGTTTTTTCTCCGGTAAACAACTCTGGATAGGTTAACGGTCCTTGGTGAGCTACACTTAACCCTTTCACACAGATTTGTAAGTGAACAGTGCTCCAACAAACAACCTCAAATGGGTTAATAAGTCATCGGCGGACTTCCGTTGGCTCACTTATATAGGTTAACATCATCGAGTAAAACTTTGATAGATAGTTTCAACCAAGTCAAATGTTGTTGGTTATTCATCCCCACGCTTATCACCAAAAAGATACTCGTGTGCAAATAACTAACAAAATAATATGATCAGCATGCATCACTAATACAACATCATTTTGACAAAGTTTGAAAAAAATAATAACATCTGCATTGTTAGAACATTTCAAATAAGTCCTCGGTGAAAGCACACGTATCTTCAACATCTCGAGATCTTGAAGCTGCAACGAAAGGGAGACTGTTATTATTGAAAGTTCTGTTCTACACTCTGTCAACTGTGATTCCGGAGATATAATTTTTTCAACCCCAGATTCATACCAACTTTTATAATCGTCTTGAAAATATTTGATCTTAACAAACTTGGAGTTTTAGTTTCTCAATGTCAGTCCTAGCGCTGTTGGATTTTCACCATCTTATCCACTTAAAAGAAAAAGAAATATGAGTTAGAGAGATGAAATATTTATATAGTAACAAAAAATGAAAGAAACTTACAAAACTCTCGCTTTTTAGGAGCCCGGTACATTCATGAGACAATATATTTTTTAGGAACGTGAATAGTTGATGTTTCAACTTTCTTTTATTTCTGAGGTTGTACTTCACATTTACTGCTCGTTGGGAGCCGCTTTAAGGATTCTGCGAGGGCTAGCTCGGAAGATCTCTTATTAGATTTCTTTAACACTACAGCTGTTGATCTTTTAAGGTGAAAAGAAAGCTTGACCTTGAACAATGATTTCTCACTCACAAATTCATATATATATTGTGCCTCAAACCAGCTCTTTCAAGTTACGAAATCTTAACATCTGCAATATTCCCTCTTCAGTAGTCTGAAGAGAGACGGACAATTGTCGAAATCTTCCCCGCCTCTCGTGAAGCCCCCAATCATTTATTGCAAAGAATAATCTTACAGAACATTGTCTTATTAATACTTTTAGGCGAAAACCCCACGTCTTATGCTTAAACAACACACGATCATGCGTATTAGTAAAGAACTCATAAAGTCGTGTTAAAATTGCCGGTTTTAACTTCAACCCGCGACTCTTGAAGAAAATGTCAACCCAGTAATGATTATCACCACTCCACAAGATAACTAAGCAACGCAAACCTCGAACGCATTCATAATTTCAATAAACTCAGGTGCCGGCGAAAATCGTAGGTCAACTCTCAAGGCAATCTCATGAATAGTAACATACCGAGAATGTGAGGAATATGCTCGATCAGTTGAAGTTAGTAATTTCACCATCATATCATTCGGGAAAAAATATTTCTTTCAAAAAAAGGTCAAGTTGCTCTCCGTCTCAGTTGACACTGCATCCTCTGGGTTTTGACTTTTCCTCTGGTTCTCAGCAGAACGAGATTTTCCAGTTGTCGTCATTTCAGTAACGTTCTGCAACGACATTTCACCACAATTTTTCGCCGCGACGCTTCATAGCAACGGTTCACCGCAACGCTTTGCCACGAAACTTTACCACGTCGCTAAGCGTCACCGCAACTTTACGCCGCAACTCTTTGTCTCGCCGTAACTCTTCTCCGCAACGCAGGATGAATTTATTTTTCTCATCTTAGGCCTCTATTTATAGGCATGATATGAGACATAACATTAAAAAAACGGCTGCTCATTAAAAGAAAGCCTACTTATTAAAAAAAATAAAGATAAAAAACGACAGTCCATTAAAAAATAAATAAATAAACGACAGCTTATAAAAAAAACTGCAACTCATTTAAAAAACTAAAAAAAACATGTTTCTATCATAAAATATATATATATATATATATATATATACATACACATAAACTGCATCATTTATTCGTTTTTTTTATTTTTCCTTTTAGTTTTCGATTTTCTTACCCACCAGGCCTGAAATTCAGCCCAGCAAAAAAATTTAATATTACTATTTGTGCAAGGTTTAAACTCGCGCCTTTTGTGCGGAATGAAAAACCCCAGCCAACTGAGCTAAAGCTCAATTTCGTTTTTGATTGGATTTATATTATTCTTATACTTACAATGTGAAGTATATAGGGGAGCAACTGATACGTCATTAACAATTTTTCATCACCAACACGAATCTCGAGGTAATACTTTGAGTAAGAAATATTCAAATATTGATAAAAAGTCATGTATAGCTCCGATTTTAGTACTTATGGTCAAACTGACTGGCTCGAGGAGAATGACCCAATGATATCAAAGAGTCCAATCTGAGTCAAACCAAGCCCAAATCAAGTGATTAAATTGTTCTTGGAAGATGTTTGGACACATGTGAAAGTTCAAATGAATGTCAAATTCAGCGAGTTGGTAGTCGAATCGAGCGTTTCGACAAGACAAATCCAACGAGCCCAAGATTGCTTAATTTCGACATCTTTAAGGCACTCAAATATCTATCAAACTTCATCCGATCGAGGGAAGCTCTCCAGACCGTCCGATCAAAATATTTCATATTTCTGCATTAATTGCTCCTATAACACTATAAATAGAGCCTCACCCTTTACTTGAGATGGGAGGCTGGAGAGAGAACTTGAGGCTTTGAAAATGAGCTTAAGTTCAACATCATCTTTGTCATCGCAGACCGCCGTCGACCTCCGTCGACCTCCGTCGACCACCACCGGCTGCCGTCGACCTTCACTGATTGTCAGCGACCACCACTGGTCTCTATCGACCACCGTTGGCCACCTTCGACTACCGCCGATTGCCACTAATCACCGCCGACCACCGCCGATCGTCATCAACTGTCGTTAATCACCGCTAACTAGGCGCCGTCAGTCGACGTTATACTTTGAAAAATTTAGTAACCCTTTCTCGTTTGTGGGACAAGGGACATCTGTAATCATCAACTGATAGTGGATTTTTATAACTGAGTGAGGCCCCGTGGTTTTTCCATTTACAAGTTTTCCATGTGAAAACTCCTAATGTCATCACGGATTGATTCTCTTTAATCTGAGTGTGTGTTGAATTTTCGCCGTGAATTTTCGACCGCATCAAATGTAAATCTTCCTCCTTTTTTTTGGTAACGAATATCTGTGCTCTCTCGTTGATGGATCAGGGGGTGATTGGAGCACAACTCATGTTCCTTCACCATTGTACATCACATCAAAATGTCTTTGCTGGTTGGGGAGAATTAGTTGATGATTTTAGAGCAAACAACATTAATGTTATGGATTTTTGCAACCTTTGTATTTATATATATACCACTCAATTCCTATGTATTTACATATATAACACCAAACTTCTTTTATGTTTATAACACCAAAAAGGTGTATTTCACCTTTTAAAAGTTAAAAATAATGGTATTTCTGATGTTATATGCAAAAAAAATTGGGTGGTATAAATGTAAAATGTGAAGCTTAAGTGTTAGATATGTAAATACATAATAACTGGGCTGGTATGTATGTAAAATGTCTATTTTGTTGTGATTATCAAATTTATTTATTTATTCCGCTTTACTTTCCTTGCAGCAGATTCACAATTTTGGGGAGCCTTTCTTCTTGGTTATCCATGACGGCGAGACGCTGGCTGAGATAAATTTTGCATTCAGAAGAAATTGCAGGTTCGTAAAGGGGATTCTCAAAGGTAAGACTTTTTTTATAAGTTTAAGTATTATATATGTAAATACATAGGAATTGAGTTGTATATATGTAAATATCCCATTTCATTATTCATTTGATTTCTAATCTCTCTTTTTGAATACCTTCTTACAGGAGCCGGTGAAATGTTCTGCTTGATTTCAGGTTATCGGAAGAATTTTTTGCGGCGGATCCTCCGTTTCCGAACCTCCCCCATCATCATTAGATCGTCAATCATAAAGATCGAAGGATTAATTCAAAGTCATTGTTTAAATTTAATTCATTATTTTATTTTATTTTTTTAGATTTATATAAAGCATACAATGTGCATTAATTGTAAATTTTATTGAAATGTTCAATACAATTGTTTTGATCTTAATCTACTAGAACTATATGAAAGTATGGCACTAAATAGGACTCAATTGAGAAAAAGGATTCATGGAACCGACCCCACTTAGTGGCATTAAGGCATTGTTGTTGTTGTTGTTCAATACAATTGTTTTTTTTTATATTTTGATTTTTATTTGAAATTTTATTTGTATTTTTTTTTTTGCTCTCCTTTAGTTTTGTAAATTATAAAATTTGTAATAAATTGATTCTTATTTTATATTTTTTTTAAATAATATTAATATTTTTATTGTGTAAAATGTTGTATTTAATTTGTTTTTGTAAATCTTTTTTAGCTAATCATTTTTTTTTTGAAAATAAATGTCCTAAATTTTTGTATGAAATTCGATCTTAAAAAAAAATTAGATAAAATTATCAATTTATTTTTTAAAATAATTTTATATTCTAACGAGTTAATTTTGAGGCGAATATGAGTCGAACACGAATAAAAAAAATATTATTCAAGTTGAACACGAGCATATTATTCACCAACTATTTCGAGCAAGAGTCAATTTCAGCCTGAGCTTGCCCAAACTCGACTCGTTTAAAGCCCTATTACTGTTGGACTGTAATTATTTATATTTCCTTATTTTAAGGAAAATATATACATACAAGCACATATATAGAAACACACACATCAAAAAAGTGCAGTGTAAATCTAACAGCGATCCATTGATGCAGATGAGGACACATGGAGGGAGATCCCTTTTCAAGTGATTGCGGGACCTATCGAGATAGTTGAGCCAAGTTAACCGAGTCAATAGATGTGAGGATGGTCGACCAGTATCAACCATGCAATTCACCCGGAAGCTCATCAGAAGAATGTCTGAATTTTTAACCAAAAATGGTTGATTCAATGTGAAAGCTTATCATGCGAGAGAGCTCACCCAAGGGAAGGCCTTTGACGATCCAGTGAAGATGAAAAAACAGCAGATAGGAGGGCTGACAGTAATGAGACAGCAGGTTGTTACAGTCCTATATTTTGGAGATGTGTTTGTGCTCCTAAAGCTTCATTATGGAAAGCAAAACTTAAGAGATTTTATTGCAGTTGATTGACTCTTATCTAAATCATGCTTTCATATTGTCATTATAAGAGATCAAGGCTCATTGTCTCTCCTATTTATTTTTATGTTATTTTTATTATTGTTGTCTTATTGATTCGAGCCTTCCTATGGGTTTACTGGAAGTGTACTGATTTCAACGTTATTGTAATATAATAATGAAGCGTTTATATGCATGCCAAATAATTATTATGTATTTATATATTTAAAGCCCGAACTTTTATATTTATATGCATGGCATATAATTTTTAATGTCACATCGGAGATCTTACGACTTAGTTTTGTATAGTTTTATTACATTAACCTGTTATAGTTGTAAATATGTAAATATTAAGTTTGAGGTGTGTTTTGTAAAGAGTGGTTTGTGTAATATGCAAATCTTCATCTCCTATCTTCTGGAAGGCTTTTTCTCCTGTGCATCTTATAGGCTACTTTTGAAAGTTGCATGGCTTGTTATATATTGATTTTGATAAAAATCGTGCCTTGATTTAGTGCTGGCTGAGTTGAACTTGTGATGACAAAATTTGTGCGTAGCATGAGGCTCGAGCCTGTACCTCCAGAGCATAGTTTTGAAAGTTTTTCTAACATTCTAAAAGACAAATGGATATCTTCGTAGTGCAATTTCTGCTTCTTATTAAAAGCTCAATGAGTGGATGGCTAGAATAGATGGGATCAAACACCTAGAGTCCTGAGATAAGTACGACGACCTCCCCTGTGCAAACATTGTTCGTCTTAAGCAGTTACTAAGCGTCCATTCCCTAAGTTTGGCTGATCGAGTGCATTGTTTGAGACTTTGCACTCCAATACCTATGAACCCATGAGTGAATAAGTTAGACGCTTTGTGCACTGTGGCTTGTATGTCACATGGGGTTCTTATTCTATATATACAAAACGGTCCCATGATTAGTGGACATGTCACAAGCTTGATTTGAAGAAATTCAAGAACATGGGGTTTTGTGACTTGCGTCTTCATCCCTTGCCATATTTTTTTCTAAAAGAAAGGTGTTTAGTGCCTTTTTCTTTTGGAAAAATCAAAACTCTTGCCTTCAGAATTTCTCAATGTCTTGTACCTATTTTTTAACTTTGGAAAAAGAGAAAAAATTAATGAGAATGATCGCTCTGTGGACTTAGCAGAGGGGTTGTTTTTGTAGGGTGAATATGATGGGATGGTAAAATTTGATGTGATGCTCCCAGTCAGTGGGAGTATCCCTCCGGTCGTTGGTTATAGTGGGAACGTGTCCACGGTTCCCCAACGTTAGTGGGCGAGCTCTTCCAATAACCTCAGCAGATGACATGAGTTCTCGTTTTCAAGATTGAATCGAGGGATGATTCTCCCGTGTTTATTTTGACTCAGACGAATTTGTTTTGAAATCTTTTTTTCACTCAAAACAGCGCATATTGATTATGTGTATCTCTAGGATAACCTCATATTCGTCAAAGTTCACTCAAATGGATGAGATAGATGGTGAAGGGACCTTATTTACTTGAGCATTTGTTTCGTCTATCTTGAGGCCTATATCAAATTGGAAGCTGTCTTGACTTATTGATTGACCCATTGCGGAGCTATGAAATAGGTCACTGAAACAGTCTTCATTCGCACCTTACGTGATTAATTCCTTCGAACAGAAGCCCTTGTTGCCTGTTTGGGATGAGCGTCCTCTAATCTAAATATGAGCTCCTATTTCCTTTCTGGCAATAAGCTAGCTTCACCCTAATTACTTAAGGCTTAATATAATAATGTTGAATCTTCCGTCAATGACGCCCTCACTCTATTGACAAAAAGCATCGAAATATCTAAAGAATCCATGCTACAAACAACAAGCATATGTTGAAAAGGCAAGACTTTGATGTTGGGGTGAGGCGCGCCAAAGCAATTGGGGACCCATAGGGATCAATACTAAAGTATTATCTTCTTTTAAATAAAAATAACTGGTTCACTGCATTTTGTAGCACGTGTACTCTAGTCCTCTTCTGAGAATCTACTACTTTATTGACTTAGTGACACTCCTTTAATATCCCTAAAATTGTTTTTTTCTTTTATCTTTCGATTAAACTGATAGCTTCAACTAGGCTCCACTTTAGAGATGGTCTGAAGAAAGCTCAGGTCAGGGGTGCGTCAAAACAGCAGTTGTTAGTCTCATTTGAGAGACCAATCTTTTTGTACTTTTTTTTTTAATGAAAAAAAAAGAAGGGGTCGATTTAGGCATATTTCACCGCAAGATAGTTCTATCAGATACCACGAACCTTCTGTCCCACGCATCTAACCAACTCACGTGGTTCACCGGTTCCATCGAACACTCTCATTTGTGGAAAGCTGGCATAGTGCGGCTAAGAGTAAGAAAAGTCTCTGATTTCGGTTACTTCACTTATCTGAAATGAAAAAAATGGAGTAATTGTTTTCTTTTCTAACGCCTTGGACGAGAAGTTCGAAGAATCGATCCATCTGACTGAAAGCTAGAAGCAAAACCCTCTACCAATTGAGCTAGGATCATTTCATTTACTATTTAAGGCTTTATATTATTCTTTTTAAATAATAATAGTAATAAAGTGTATATATATATATAATATATTGATACTCATACATGAAAAAAGTTCTAGATCTGGATATTTTCTAGATCTGGATATTTTCAGGCGACAAAGTTGATCTCACCTGAAAGTAGAGGGCAACTAATATACCTAGCAAATTTTCATCATCCAACATGAATTTCGAGATAACTTTTTAGTAAGAAATATTCAAACCTCGATAAAAAGACATCCAGATTTTCGATTTCCGCAAACTTACAGTAAAACATACCGGCTCGATAAGAAGAACCTATTAATATCAAAATTAGTCCAATTCAAGTAAAGTCAAGCTCAGATCAAGTCATTTAACCATTTTGACAGTCTTCTGGACATATTTTGATGGTCAAACGAATATTGAATTTAGCAAGCATATAATTGAATTGGGAGTATTGACAAGACGAATCCAACCAGTTTAAGATTTCTCAATCCCGACATCGTTAAAGCAAAAAAATGTCCATTAAACGTCATATGATTGAATGAAGCTCTATATGTTGTCCAGTTAAAGTGATTCGTATTCTTACATTGATTGCACTTAGAACACTATAAATAAAGTTTTACCCCTCTCATGAGAGGGAGGAGAGCTTGAGGCTTAAGAATGAACTTGAAGCTTTGATAAGATATTAAAGTCCAACACCACTCTTGCCGCTGTCGACCACCGCCAACCGTCGTCGACCACCACCGACTGTCGTCGACAATCACTGATCACCGTTAAGCAATCATATTGTTGTCAACACCGAAGACCACCGTCGACTACCATCTACCACCGTCGGACGCCCTTGATCGTCGTCGACCACTGTTGGCCAACAAATGCTAACTTTCACCGATCACTATCGTCCGCCTCCCACATCTCATAACAAGTTCATTCGTGCACCAACAATGTAGCTCCGAAGAGTGTTCAACCATTTCTTGCATGTGGGACGAGGAACTATTCATATAATATCCAGTTTAAAGTAGATTTCTTCAACTGGGTTAGGTCTCGTGTTTTTTTCCCTTTTCTGGTTTTCCACGTAAAAAATTCTAGTGTCAACATTAGTTATTTATCTCTTTTCTGACTGTGTATTGAATATTCGTATCACGCTAAGACTATAATCCATCACTCTAACACCACGAATTTTCTAGCATGCATCAACTATAAACACTTCAGATATGAAAACTGTTCGATCTTTTAATTATGTACCTAAAGCTTTCAAAAGTAATTTAATGATTTCATCTAAGTTTGATATGATTTGAATTAAATTATTGTGTCGGACTCAATCGAAATGCTCAATTTGACAATTTGACTAAAAATTTAGAAAATTTACTCAAATTATAGTTTTGAATGACTTTTAATGAAAATTTGCTCAAATTAAATTTATTTTGAGTTAATACGATATCACGAGATTTTGATGTTATAAATTTGTTGATGGCTACTACAAAACTCCGTCAGGCCACCAAGGC